GTTTCCAAGGTTTCTGAGGAGACCTTGGTACTTAATCTTATTGGGAACCCTTTCTATGTGACAATTTGCATCTCCTTGCTACTTTCAGAATCACTCTTTAGCTTTTGGTAGTTTAATTATGTTTGTGTCTCTATATGGATTTCTTTGGGTTTATCCTGCTTGGAATTTATTAAACTTCTTGGATTTGTGGATTCATATTCTTCATCAGATTTGGAAAGTTTCCTACATTATTTCATCAAATATTCTTTCTGTCCCTTTCTCCTTCTTGTCTCCTTCTGGAATTCACATAATGCATATGTAAGTTCATTGAATGATGTTCCATGCTCAGCAGTCTTGAGCTTTCTCTCTTGTTGCTCTTCAAACTACACAATTTTGATGATCTTGTTCTAGGTTGTAGATTTTTTCTTCTGCCATCTCAATCTGCTGCTAAGTCTTCCAATGAGTTTATTATTTCAATTATTGTTTCTTTCAATTCCAGTATTTCTATTAGTTTTTTCTTTTTTTAATGGTATCTAGCTTTTATTTAAGGGGCTCTGGTGGCACATTGGTTAAGGCATTCAGCTGCTAACCAAATGGTTGGTAGTTTTAACTCATCAGCTGCTCCACAGGAGAAAGCTGAAGCAGTCTGCTTCCATGAAGATTTACAACCTGGGAAACCCTATGGGGAAGTTCTGCCCTGTTCTATAGGGTCACTATGAGTCAAAATTGACTTGATAGCTATGGGTTTGATATTTTTAATTTATAATCTAATTTTCTTCATGCACTGTTTTTCTATTTTACCTTAGGTTATTTGTGTTCTTTGACCTTGTTTAATATTTTTTAATTATATTTTTTCACTATGTTCATTATCCAGGTATCCATAGAGAAAATATTTCTCCCTTCATCTTGATCTTTTGAATGGGTCATTGTTTCCATTTCTTTTTTTGTCTTGTTTTTTTTTTTGTTGTTGTTGTTGTTGTTCCATTTCTTTTTGTGTCTTGTTATTTGTTTTTTTGTTTTTGTTTGAAGGCATTAGGGTATACAATGTATTAGCTTTATCAATTCCCCCATATACATGGTGCTCTTGAAAGTGCTAATTTCTGCAAGAAACTCTTAGGTAAGCTCAGTCTTCAGGCATTGATAACTACCCTCTGAGATTGCTGACTGTCATTCTGAGGTTTCAGTCCTTCAGTGGCTCCCAGAACACTTAAAAAACACACACTGAATAATGTACCCTCAAATCATTCCCAGAGTCATCAGAATGTACACCACAAACACTCTGCCTATTTACTTGATCTGCCCTATTTTTTATGGAACCAGAGATTGGGACCCTTATTATTGCACTGGAAAGCTATGGATAAGCTAGGACTGCAGCTGTGGTTCTGTTGCAGACAATCAGCCACACCAGGAGGGGAAGGAGAAGACAGGAAAAGAGATTTTCCTAGCATATGAAGTCATTATCTTCTTTCAGTTTGATGCTCCTTTCTTCTATTCTTTGCCTATCTTTTCAGGGTTCTTGCATGATTGAACTCAGAATTCTAGTTGATTTTCTTGCTGTTCATGTAGAACTCTCACAGAGAGTCATAATCCTAGACCTACACTTTCCACCATATTCCCAGCATCCTGCTTAACTTTTTATAATGTGCTATTTATATTTATATTCCCTTTTTCATTCCTGATATTAGTAACTTGTGTCTTCTCATTTTTTATCTTGATCATTCTGATTACAGGTTTATCAGTTTTACTTATCATTACAATAGTTTAATTGATTTTTGTCATTTTTCTGTTTCAATTTCAATGATTTTTACTTTTTACTATATCCTTAGAAAATTTTAAAAAGCATATATTTATTGAATTCTTAAAGCCAGACAAGTTCCCTGAGTGTGGAGTTGAACACTATATAGGATAATTGAAGTCTTAATTTTCATGGCTTTTACAGACACAAGCTAAATGATTAAAAAAGATTCTTAGACATTGTTGCAACTCTTACGTAAAAATAAAATAGATTAATTTGAGAAAGCATATTCATGGAAAACCACCACTCATCTGCCAGTTTGTCAAACTGTAGTGGCTTCCCTGTTGCTGTGAGGCTATAGGCTATGCTACTGGTATTTGAAATGACAGCAGGATCACCCATGGTGGACAGGTTTTAGCAGAGCTTGACTAAGACAGACTGGGAAGAAAGAAGGAGCCATCCACTTCTCAAAGAATTGGCCAGTGGAAACCTAATGAATATCAGTAGTTATAAAATATGCAAGTTCAAGTTGAAGCCGAAGAAAATTAAAATAAGTCAGCAAGCAAGGTTGTGTCATCTGCATATCTCAGCTCATTAATAAGTCTGCCTCTAATCCTGATGCCATGTTCTTCTTTATATAGTCTACTAGTTTCTCATATTATTTGCTCAGAGTAAAGACTGCATAAGTATGGTGAAAGAATACTACCCTGGCCCACCCACAGTATCCCCTTGTTCTGTTCAAATGACTGCCTCTTGATCTATGTACAGGTTCCACATGAGCACAATGTTTTAGAATTCCCATTCTTTGCAATATTATCCACAATTTGTTATCTAGTCCCATGTTACCTAAATTCATGCCTTAAAACCATCATATATTTGTCAATCATATTTTTAAAATTTCTTGTCCTGATATCTCCTAGAACTCCTGATTTATTTATACAACAACTTCCCTATTAGCCCTACCTAGATGTCCGATAGATATCTAAATCTAATATGCCCATAACAAAACTTTCAATTTTCTTTCCAAAATGCTTTTCCTGCTCAGTCTTCCCCACTAATAAAAGACATATCCACCCACTTCCAAGGAGGATTTTGGCTGTACTTCTTCTGGGAAAGATTTGTTCATTCTTCTGGAAGTCCATGGCACTCTCAGTATTCTTTGCCAACACCACAAATCAAAAGTGTCAACTCTTCTCTGTGTGGCATCTGCTTTTTGAAACATTTCAATGGGTATTCTGTCAATTCCTGGAGCCTTGTTTTTCACCACTTCCTTCAGTGCAGCTTCAACTTCTTCCTTCAGTACCACTGGTTCTTGATCATATGCCACCTCCCGATACAGATGAACATCAACCAATTCTTTTTGGTACTGTGACTCCGTATATTCCTTCCATCTTCTTTTGATGCTTCCTTCATTGTTCAATATTTTGCCCATAGAATCTTTCAGTATTGCATCCTGAGGCTTGAATTTTTTCTTCACTTCTTTCAGCTTGAGAAATGCTTAGCATTTTCTTCCCTTTTGGTTTTCTAACTCCAGATCTTTGCACATTTCATTATAATAATTGACTTTGTCTTCTCAAGCTGCTCTTTAAAATCTTCTGTGCAGCTCTTTTATCTTGTCATTTCTTCCATTTGCTTTACCTACTCTTTATTCAAGAGCAAGTTTGAGTTTCTTCTGACATCCTTTTCATCTTTTCTTCCTTTCCTGCCTTTTTAATTACCTTTTGCTTTTTTCATGTATGATGTTCTTGATATCATCCTACAATTTGTCTGGCTTTTGGTCATTGGTGTTCAGTGCATCAAATCTACTCTTGAGATGGTCTCTAAATTCAAGTGGGATGTATTCAAGGTCATATTTTTTGCTCTCATGGACTTCTTTTAATTATCTTCAGCTTCAACTTGAACTAGCATATGAGCAATTGATGGTTTGTTCCACAGTCATCTCCTGGCCTTGTTTTAGCTGAAGATATTTAGCTTCTCCATCACCTCTTTCCGCAGATGTAGTTGATCTGATTCCTGTGTATTCCATCTGATAAGGTCCATGTGCATAGCTGCCATTTATGTTGTTGAAAAAGATATTTGCAATAAATAATTCATTGATCTTGCAAAATTCTCTCATGTGATCTCCAGTGTCGTTTCTATCATCACGACCATATTTTCCAACTACTGGTGATTCTTCTTTGTTTCCAGCTTCTGTATTCCAATCACTAGTAGTAATCAATACATCTTGATTGCATATTTGGTCAATTTCAGACTGCAGAAGTTGGTAAAAATCTTCAATTTCCTCATCTTTGACTTTGGTGGTTGGTGCATAAATTTGAATACTGGTAGCATTAACTGGTCTTCCTTGTAGATATATGGATACTATTCCATCACTGACAGCACTGTGCTTCAGGATAGAGCTTGAAACATTTTTTGTGATGATGCATGCTATGCCATTCCTCTTCAATTTGTCACTCCTGGCATAGTAGATCATATGGTTGTCTGATTCAAAATGGCCAAAACCAGTCCATTTCAGCTCAATAATGCCTAGGATATTGATCTTTATGTATCCCATTTCATTTTTACACCTTTTAATTTTCCTACATTCATACTTTGTACATTCAACCTTCCAATTATTAATGGATGTTTGCAGCTGTTTCTTCCTATTTTGAGTCATGTCACATCAGCAAATGGAGGTGTTGAAAGATTTACTCCATCCATGTCATTGATGTCAACTCTACTTTGAGGAGGCAGCTCTTCCCCAGTCACAGTTTTCATGCCTTCTGACTTGAGGGGCTCGTCTTCTGGCACTACATTGGATAATATTTCAGGGCTGTTCATAGTGTTTTCCAGTAATATATCAGACAGTGCTTCACTACTCTTCATAAGGTTTTCACTGGCCAATACTTTGAGAAATGGATGTTCCCTTCCTTCTTCCTAGTCTGTCTTAGTCTGGAAACTCTACTGAAACCTGTCCACCATGGGTGACCCTGCTGGTATTTGAAATACCAGTGGCATAGCCTCTAGGCTCAGCAATCACAAATCACCACAATATAACTAATTGACAGATGAGTGGTAGAAGTGGGCATTGCACTGTTGGCACAAAATGTATAACATGTATTATTTGCATAAAAATATGGTAGTGGACATGTTTGTATTTAATTGAACGATGAGTATATTAAGTTGTGACAGAATAGGGTTAAATATTTATAAGGTAAAACTATCTCAAACTAGTCTTATCTACTGTAATCTACCTTAATGAAAAATGTTTTAAATAAACTTATCAGGCACCCTCTTATTATTCCAGTTAAAGATGAACCAGCCTCAGAACTTCCAAATACAGCAGGAAATCTTTCATCAATTAATGACCTAATCACCCAGTTAGATTTAAACAAAGTGGTTGGTAAGTAGTGATTTGTAATGTTTGGACACAGGGGAACAGACTAAGAGTTAAAGTGTTTCAACTATGCAGTTTGTTGTTAAAAGAAAATAGTAAATTCAAACATAGAAAGTCTTTCTTACCTTGGTGATAACTTTATTCATTCCATCTACATTATGCATTTTTAAAGAATTTATTAAATGTTCTTTGCTACATGTAACAAACAACATTAATTATGCAGTCCTTAATATATTTCCCTTTATCTGCTCATGAAAGAAAGATATGCTGGCTTTTCTCCTACACTGTGAATTTTCATAACATAAAAAGATGTTACATGACTAATTCTTTTGAGAACAAATTTTCATCACTTACACCATCTTTTATAATAATAAGATACAACAACAATTGAAACTAGAAATATGTATGCAGTATGGCTGCTTGTGACCTGTTATAAAATGGGAACTTTCTAATGGTGAAAATGTAGTTAGCATGTGTACCAAAAAAAAAAAAAAAAGAGCACTGTTGTCAAGTCAGATCCTACTCACAGCGACCCCTCCTTGGGTTTCTAAGGCAGTATCACTACGGAAGTAGATTGCCTCCTCTTCCTTCCAAGGAGTGGCTGGTGGGTTTGAACTGCCAGCCTTGTGGTTAGCAGTCAAATGCCTCAGGCACTAGGCCACCAGAGCTCCTTTAACATGTGTAAGAAGTTAGAATGTGTGCTGAAACTAATACTAGTTGTAATAAGAAAAAAAATGGGTCTTACTTTTGAGCAATAGTTGAATATAATCAATGCTATGTTTCACTAAGATATTTAGATTTTATAATTATATACATCTACCCATGAACATTTTACTATTGATACTCTTCAAGAAAGATAACTACTTTTGCAAGTGTTAAGCTCTCTATCTTTTTCCTCATTATTTTATTCTGGCAGTTTCCTATTCCAATATCCATTCTTCTCTCATTCTTTCCTAAGTATAAACCACTACCATCAGTTGCCCTCAAGTTTACTCCTACTCATGGAAAGCCCATATATGTCAGAATAGGACTGTGCTCCATAGAGTTTTCTATGGCTCATTTTTTGGAAGTAGATCACCAGGCCTATCTTCTCAGGCACCTCTGAATAGACTCAAACCTTCAATCTTTTAGTTAGAGAATACTACATTTCTCAGTTTCCCCTATAGCTGGGTGAGGCCACTGACTAAATCCTTTCCAGTAAAATAAATGGAAGTGTTCTGTGGCAGCTTTCATACCATCACCTTAACATTCAGCAGGCATGATACTATGCCCCTTCTTTCTTTTATCTGTATCTATATCTTTATCTTTCTATATCTTTTATCTTCTTATGACTAGGAACTATATGTGATCGCTGAAGCTGTAGTGGCCATATTGGACAATTACAATGAAGGAAAAATTCTAAGGATGACAGAAATTAAATTTAAAAGGAAGATGTATCCCCAATTACGTGGTAGAGTTGCCATGCCAGCCATAGATTGTTTAACTTCACACTTCTTATGTAATAAAATTAAATGTTGTGCACCTAAGCACTATTAATTTGGATTTTCTGTTCCTCACAGATGATATCTCTGGTAGCATAGTGGCTAAGACACTTGCCTGCTCACCAGAAGGCTGTCGGTTCAAACCCACCAGCCACTCCTCGGAAGGAAGGTTGGGCAATCCTACTTCCGTAGTGATACTGCCTCGGAAACCCAAGGAGGGGTCGCTATGAATCAGGGCTGACTCGACGGCACATAACAACAACAACAACAACACAGATGATATTATTCCTTAGTTGAAACAATGTTTTCTATTACGAAACTCTTGAAAACAAATGGTTCCTTTGTAAAACAAACATCAGTTGTTTTTCTTATGTGCTGTCAAGTTGTCTCTGACTCATAGCAACCTTATGTACAACAGAACAAAACATTGCCCAGTTCTGTGCCAGCCTCACGATCCCTACCTGAACCCATCACTGCAGCCACCATGTCAATCCATCTTGTTAAGGGCCTTCCCCTCTTTCATTGACTTTCCACTTTACCAAGCATGACAGCCTTCTCCAGAGAATGGTCCCTTCTGACAACATGACCAAAGTAGGTGAGATGAAGTCTGGCATTTTTGTTTCTAAGGAGCATTTCAGCTGCACTTCTTCCAGGACAGATTGGTTAGTTCTTTTAGCAGTCCACGATACTTTTGGCATTCTTCACCAACACCATAACTCAAAAGCATTAACCCTTCTTCAGTCTTCCTTATTCATTGTCCAGCTCTCACATGCGTATGAGGTGATTAAATATACCATGGCTTGGGTTAGGTGCATCTTTGTGTTCGAGGAGATGTCTTTGCTCTTCAGCACATGAAAGAGTTCTTGTGCAACAGATTTCCCCAATGCAATATGTTATCAGTTAGCAACCTGATAATGAGATCTCAACAACCCATAATTGTTTGTGTCCATTAGCTATTGCTGTGTAACCAACTATCCCAAAACTCAGTTGCTTAAAACAACAATCATTTATTACTATTTTAGGTCATGTGTCAGGTTTCAGGTGACACTTGATGATCTGAACTGGGCTCAATGATTTCAGCTATCTTGCTAAACCATCTTCATGTTGACTGGACAGTGAATGCATCTGTGAGTTGACTGGGGCCTCTGCTCTTAGGTTGGATTGGCTTTGATAGCTTGGCTGGGGCACTCCTTCTCCATGAGTCTTCAGGAATAAGAAATGTGTTTAGAACAAGTTAAAATATGCAAGGCCTCTTGAGTCCTTGGCTTGGAACTAGTACACTGTCACTTCCAACTCACCATATTGGTTGAACCCAGAGTGAAGGGATGAGAAAATATTTTCTACCCTGTTTGTAGCAGGTACTTCAAAGATAATCAGCTAAGCTCATGCATTCAAGGAAGTGTGAGGAATTGGTGTCATTAACACAAACCTACAAGCTTATTAACCATGGCTTCTTGTAATAGTATAAAGTAATTATTATTACATTTAGATGAAAAAAATCACCTAAAGAAACCTGGCATTTTAATTAAATTATGGAATATTATCTTCATGAATAAGAGCTCTTGTAGCATAGTGCCTAAGGCACTTGACTGCTAACCAGAAGGCTGGCGGTTCAAACCCACCAGCCAGTCTTTGGAAAGAAGGTTGGGCAATCTACTTCCGTAGTGATACCGCCTCAGAAATCCAAGGAGGGGTCGCTATGAGTCGGGGCTGACTCAATGGCACATAACAACAACAACAACAACATCTTCATGAATGAATGGATCTTTACATTCTGTGTTTTGAAATAATGAAAATATCTTGTAGAATTCCATATCATAATTTTCCTTTTGAGGACTAAGGAACTAGATTACATGATCTCCATGATACCTTCCAGCCTACAGTCTCTATAACTGTAGTCCAATAATGCTAAATGGAAGATGTGGAATCTTGAAATCTGAAGAGTTTTCATAAAGGTATTCATATTAATAATGAGTTTTTTCCATTAGCTTATTTGCCTACAGAATTTTCAAGTCTAAAATAATTAGAGAACTTACATTTAAAAATTCAAAATAATCAAATAAAATAGGAGTTTTAAAAAGGGGAGAGTTGTAGGAGTTCTTTATATTTTTGGGATATTAAACCCATGTGAGACATATGGTTCCCAAATATTTTCTACCATTTTGTAGATTGTCTCTTCACTTGTTGATAAAGTCCTTTGATGCAAAAATGCTTTTAATTTTTATGTAGTCCTATTTATCTAGCTTGTCTTTTGTGTGTGTGTGTGTCTGTGTGTCTGTGTGTGTGTGCACGCTTCTAGTGTCATACCTAAGAATTGATTGTCAAAACTAAGTGATGCAACTTTATCCCTATCATTTCATTTAAGAGTGTTGTGGTTTTAGTTTTCACATTTAGGTCTTTGATCTATTTTAATATTTTTATATGTTGTGAGTTATGAGTTCAGCTCTGTTCTTTTGCATTTGTAAATTCAGTTTCCTCAGCACCATACATTAAATTCTTTCCCCATTGAATGGATTTAGCACTCTTGTTGAAAATCATTTGTCCAGAGAAGTATGCATATATTTCTGTACTTTCAATTCTATTCCGTTGGTCTATGTATCTATTATTATACCAGTATCAGACTATTTTGATTGACAACTCTAGGGTACTTGGCAGAAACACAAAACAAAGTGCTTTGGCGTAAACTCTCTATAAATAGACCACATGGCATTAGCACATGAAGGGGGAACTAATTCAATTACAGGTAAGGTCACAGCCTAACCCTCAGGAAATCATCCATTTTTTTGAAGAGTCGGTAAATAATATAGGCCACACACACACACACACACACACACAAAATAATAATAATAACTGGAAATAATAGAACACTACATTATTTAAAGAGTCTGCAATTATGAAAGAGAAATAGAAAGTATAAGAAAATAAAAAGACACTAAGGAGCAAACAAAAATAGGCTGATATGAAATGGAAAAGTAATAGAAATGAAACAGAACCATAAAATTAAAAGTTCATTAATGAGAAAATGTAAAGTAGAGACAGTTGCAAAGAGAATCATATATGTATGTTGTCGTTGAGTAGGCTCCGGCTCATAGCTACCCCATGCACAACAGATGAAGCACTGCCAGGTCCTATGCCAGCCTCATAATCCTTGCTATACCTGAGACCATTGTTGCAGCCACTGTGTCAATCCATCTTGTTGAGGGCCTACCCCTTTATGCTGACCCTCCACTTTACTAAACATGAAATCCTTCTCCCTTCTCACAACATGACCAAAGTATGTGTGACAAAGAGTGGCCATTTGTACTTCCAAGGAGCATTCTGGCTGCACTGCCTCCAGGACAGATTTGTTAGTTCTTCTGGCAGTCCATGGTGCTTTCAGTATTCTTCTCCAGCACCACAGCTCAAAAGCATCAACTCTTCTTTGGTCATGTCCAGCTTTCACATGCATATGAGATGATTGAAAATACCATGGATTGAGTTAGGTGCACCTTGGTCTTCAAAGAGACATGTTTGTTCTTCAACACTTTAAAGAGGTCTTTTGCAGAAGATTTGCTAAGTGTAATATGTTGTCTGATTTCTTGACTGCTGCTTCCATTGGTGTTGATTGTGGAATCAAGTAATATGAAATCTTTGACAATTTCAATATGTTCTCCAGTTATCATGATGCTGCCCGATGGCCTAGCCATGAAGGTTTTAGTTTTCTTTATGTTGAGGTGTAATCCATACTGCAGACTGTAGTCTTCAATCTTCATCAGTAAGTGCTTCAGGTTATCTTTACTTTCACCAAGCAGGGTTGTGTCACCTGCATATCACAGGTTGTTAATGAGTCTTCCTCCAATCCTGATGCCGCATTCTTCTTCATATAGTCCACCTTCTCGGATTATTTGCTCAACATTAGATTGAACAAGTATGGTGAAAGGATGCAACTCTGAACACTCCATTCCTAAAAACATGCAGTATTCCTTAGCTCTGTTTGAACCAAAACCTCCTAGTCTATGTACAGGTTCCTCCTGAGCACAATTAAGTGTTCTGGAATTGCCATTCTTCTCAATGCTATCCATAATTTCTTATGATCTACACAATCAAATGGTTTTGCATAGTCAATAAAACACAAGTAAACATCTTTCTGGTATTCTTTGCTTTCAGCCAAAATCCATCTGACATCAGCAATGATATCCCTCATTCCATGTCCTCTTTTGAATCCAGCTTCCATTTCTTGAAGTTCTCTGTCAATATACTGATGCAACCATTTTTTGAGTTATCTTCAAAAAGATTTTACTTGCATGTGATATTAATGATATTGTTTGATAATTTCTACATTCTGTCTGATCACCTTTCTTTGGAATGGGTACAAATATGGATCTTTACCACTCAGTTGGTCAGGTAGCTGCCTTCCAAATTTCTTGGCATAGAGGAGTGAGTGCTTCCAGCTTGGCATCCATTTGTTAAAACATCTCAATGGGTATTCTGCAAATTCCTGGACCCTTATTCTTCACCAAATTCTTCAGTGCAGTTTCGACTTCTTCCATCAATACCATTGGTTCTTGATCATATGCCACCTCCTTAAATGGATGAACATTGACCATTTCTTTTTGGGACAGTGACTCTGTCTATTCCTTCCATCTTCTTTTGATGTTTCCTGCATCATTCAATATTTTCCCCATAGAATCTTTCAATATTGCAACTCGAGGCTTGAATTTTTTCCTTAGTTCTTTCAGCTTGAGAAATGCCAAGTCTGTTCTTCCCTTTTGGTTATCTAATTCCAGGTCTTTGCACATTTCATTATAATAATTGACTTTGCCTTCTCGAGCTTCTCTTTGAAATCTTCTGTTCAACTCTTTTATCTTCTCAATTTTTCCATTTGCTGTAGCTGCTCTCTGTTCAAGGGCAAGTTTCAGAGTCTCTTCTGACATCCATTTTGGTCTTTTCTTCCTTTCCTGTCTTTTTAATAATCTTTTGTTTTCTTCATGGATGATGTTCTTGGTGCCATCCCACAATTCCTCTGGTTTTTGGTCATTCATGTTCAATGCATCAAATCTAGTCCTTAGATAGTCTCTAAATTCAGGAGGGATAAAATCAAGGTCATATTTTTGCTCTCATGGATGTGTTTTAATTGTCTTCAGCTTGCATATGAGAAGTTGTTAGCTTCTGGCCTTGTTTTGGCTGAAGATATTGAGCTTCTCCATTACCTCTTTTCATAGATGTAGTCGATCTGACTCCTATGTACTCCATCTGGTGAAGTCCATGTGTATAACTGCCATTTATGTTGTTGAGAAAAGGTGTTTGCAATGAATAAGTCGTTGGTCTTGCAAAATTCTATCATGCGATCTCCAGCATTATTTTGATCACCAAGGCCATATTTTCTAACTACTGCTGATTCTTCCTTGCTTCCAACTTTTGCATTCCAATCACCAGTGATAATCAACACATCTTGATTACATATTTGGCCTATTTCAGACTGCAGAAGTTGGTAAAAATCTTCAATTTCCTCATCTTTGGCTTTGGTAGTTGGTGCATAGATTTGAATAATAATATTATTAACTGGTTTTCCTTGTAGGTGTGTGGATATTTTCCTATAACAAACAGCACTGTACTTCAGGATACATCTTGAAGCATTCTTTTTGACAATGAATGCTACACCATTCCTCTTCAATTTGTCATTTCAGGCATAGAAGATTGTAAGGTACCTGATTCAAAATGTCCAAAACCAGTCCATTTCAGCTCAGTGGCGTAATGCCTAAGGCATTTGACTGATAACCAGAAAGTTGGTGGTTCAAACCCACCAGCCACTCCTCAGAAGGAAGATTGGGCAATCTACTTCCATAGTGATACCACCTTGGAAACCC